TTTTCTGGTTAGATTTATTTCTAAGTATTTCATCTTTGAAGATCAAAGAGCACAGTCTTCGATATGGATTACATCTCAATGTCAAGAAAACAAAAATCCTCACCACTGGACCAATAAACAACATTCTTATCAATGGAGAAAAGATTGAAGTTGTCAAGGACTTCATTCTTCTTGGATCAACTATTAACACTCACAGAAGCAGCAGTCAAGAGATCAGATGACGTATTGCATTAGGCAATATGCTGCACAGGAACTTTTTAAAGTATTGAAGAGCAAAGATGTCAGCTTGAGGACTAAGGTGCACCTGACCCAAGCCATGGTATTTTCAATAACCTCATATGCATGTGAAAGCTGGACAGTGAATAAGGATGACCATAGAAGAATTGATGCCTTTGACTTGTGTGTTGGAGGAGAATACTAAAAGTGCCAAAAGAACCAATAGATCTGTTTTGGCTGCCAAAAGAACCAATAGATCTGTTTTGGAAGAAGTGCAACCAGAGTGCTCCTTAGAGACCAAGATGGCCAAACTTTGTCTATCATAATTTGGACATATTGTCAGGAGGGAACAGTAGCTAGAGAAGAATATCATGGAGGGTCAGAGAAAAAGAGGAAGACACCCAATGAGATGGATTGACCCGGTGGCAACTATCGATGGACTCAAGTGTGGCAACAGTAGTGAGGTTGCCCAGGATCAGACATTGTTTCATTCTGCTGTGCATAAGATTGCTATGAGTCAATGCCGACTCAATGGCACCTAACAACTCAATGGCACCTAACAACAACAATTTCATCTTGGGTGCCTGTTACAAATGGTATTGCTATCCTGGTTTCCGTTTCAGAGCTGTTTTTATTTGCATAAAGGACTCCAACTGATTTTTGGATGCTGATCTTGTACCCTGCCATTTTGCTGAATCTTTCAATGAGTTCCTTGCTGAGTCTTTGGGATTTGCTAAGTATAGGATCAAATCATCTGCAAATAGAGTGTTTTACTTCTTATTTGTCATTTTGGATACCTTTGATTTCCATTTCTTGTCTTAAAACTCTGGCTAAAGCTTCTAGCACAACACTAAATAGGAGTGGTGATAAAAGTCAACCTTGTCTGCTTCCTGTTCACAAGGGCTTTAGTTTCTCTCCATGAAAGTGATGCTGACTGTTGGTTTAGTATATGTGCCCATAATTATGCCGAGAAAATTTTCTTTTATTCCTACTTTGTTGAGTGTTTTTTGTTTTTTGTTTTAATCAGAAATGGGTGTTAAATTTTGTCAAATGTCTTTTCTGCATCAATTGATATGATCATATGGGTTTTCTTCCTTTGTTTCATTTATGTAGGGGATTACATCAACTGTTTTTCAATAGTGAACCAGTCCTATTCCACTTGGTCACAATGTTATTTTAAGTCTGTTGTTAGATTCAATTGGCTAAGATTTTGATGAGAATTTTTGTATCTATGTTCATGAGGGATATTGGCCTGTAATTTTTTTTTTTTTCTTTTTTAGTGATGTCTTTGCCTGCTTTTGGTATGAGAGTTATACTTGCTTCCTAAAATGAATTCAGGAGTTTTACATCCTTTTCTTCATTCTGAAATTGTTGGGGTAGAATTGTTGTCAATTCTTCTCAGAATGTTTGGTAGAATTCAACAGTAAAGTCATCTGGGCCTAGAATTTTTGTTGAGAAATTTTTTGTTTAATCAATTTCTTCTTTTGTTATAGGTCTGTTCAAGTTTTCTAATCTGGTGTTTCTAGAAATTGTCTAATTCTTCTAGACTTTCAAATTTATTGGTGTACAATTCTTCATAGTATTCTGTTATCATCCTTTTTATTTCCATTGGTTCTGTTGTGATATTACCTATATCATTTATAATTTGTGTTATTTGCATTGTATCTTTTTTCTTTTGTTAGATTTGCTAATGGTTTTGTAGATTTATTAATCCTTTCAAAGCACCAACTTCTTACGTTGTCTATCCCTTCTATTGTGTTTCTGTGTTCTATTTCATTTATTTATGCCCTAACCTTTACTATTTCTTTTCTTCTGGTGGCTGTAGATTTTCTTTGCTGCTCTTACAGCTCCTGTTTACTAACAAGGCTATCTTTTCCCCCAATGGATTGCAGTGGCTCTTTTTTTAAAAAATTTTTTGCGAATTGTGTGATAGTTTACATGGCAGAACATTAGCTTTACATTCATCCTATCATATATTATTTCAATGCCATGGTTACAATCCCCTCCATGAATCATCAACCAACCAAGCCTGTCCCTTGGTCGTCAGCACACAGCCCCTCTACCTCTCTGGATCTACAGTCCCCAACTACTCTATCTCTCCACATCATCGTCTCTGCCTCCATCTCTGGCATTGCTCTTTCTCTGGGTAGGGTCCTGCACTCCGCTTTTCTCCCTTGATGGTCCCAAGGACCTCCGCTCCTAGAGTGCAAAGTCAACCACTCCCCTCCTTTTACTATAAAACTTCTACCTTTACATTTCAAATCCTCACAGTCAGTCCTGATAGCAGTGATTCACTATTGCACCACAAGAGTCCTATCCCTATCTCCTTTCATCAGCCCCACCAAGACAGATTAGATACTATTTAGTGGAGATTCTACCTTTCTCCACGTCTTCTGGATCTACGTTCCCTCTTGAAAGCTTGTAAGCCAGTCACTTCTTGCTTTTGTAGACCCTCATTTTGGGTAGCCAATGTCCAGGTTGCCCATCCCTGTCTGCCCTTTGTACCGAGAGGGTGGGAATGATCCTTGCTGCAAAGATGTGTTCCCTCTTTTGAGCTACTGCATCCATAGGTGTAGGTCAAGTTCATCAAATTGTATCAGATTATTCTTTTTTTCCTCTACTTTCTTCTTCTAGTTGAGCTGTCATCATCCAGTCATTGAAGCCAGATCAAGTGGGTATTATTTGCAAGTGTGGGTGTTCTTGTGCATATGCCCTCTCTTCTTATCAGCTGGACACTT